TTCGGGGGGGGGGGACGACCCCAAAATTTGGGTCAATTCCTTAGGGTTTGGGGGAACCTCAAAGTTGGGTGAATCCTTTGGGTTTTGGGGAACCCCTGGATTTGGGTGAATTGGGGAGGGGGGTGTCTCCAAATTTGGGTGAATTCCTTAGGGTTTGGGGGACCCCCAAAATTTGGGGGAGTCCCTTAGGGTTTTGGGGACCCCCCCCAAAGTCGGGTGAATCCTTTAGATTTTGGGGCACCCCCCTGAATGTGGGTCAATTCCTTGTGTTTTTGGAGACCCCTCAAATTTGGGTGAGTCCCTTAGGGTTTGGGGGACCCCTCCCAAATTTGGGTGAATCCTTTAGGTCTTGGGGACCCCCCCAAATTTGGGTGAGTTGAGGGGGCATCTCCAAATTTTGATTAGTTCTATATGGTTTTGGGGACCCCCTCAAAGTAGGGTGAATTGGGGTTGGTCTCCAAATTTCAGTTAATTCTTTAGGTTTTGGGGGACCCACTGAATTTGGGTCAATTCCTTGTGGTTTTGGAGACCCCCCAAATTTGCGTGAATTCCGTATGGTGTTGGGGATCCCCCCAATTTTGGGTGAATTGGGGGGGTCTCCAACTTTTGATTAATTCCTTATTTTGCGGGGATCCCCCCAAATTGGGGCAAGTCCCTTATGTTTTTGGGGACCCCCAAATTTGGGTGAATTCCTTGGGGGTTTGGGAACCCCTACATTTAGGTGAATCCTTTAGGTTTTGGGGGACACCCCCCCAAAATGTGGGTGAATTCCTTAGGGTTTTGGGGACCCCCTCAAAGTTGAGTGAATTGGGGGGGGGGTGTCTCCAGATTTGGATGAATCCTTTAGGTTTTTGGAGACCCCTACATTGGAGTGAATTGGGGTCCCCTCCTATTTTGGGTGCGTCCCTTAGGTTTTGGGGGCCCCCCAAATCTGGGTAACTTGGGGCCCTCCCCAATTTGGGTGAATTCCTCGGGTTTTGGGGGGGGTCTAATGGTGGGTTGTTTTTTTTTTCCAGGCGTGGAAGCGGAGGGGGAACAGGGTCAACCGGAGCCCACCCAGATCCAACCCTCGGCGGGGGCCAGCTCCAGCGATGGGGGGGTGAACCCCGATTTACGCCGGCAGTTGGGCCTGATCCTGCAAACGGCCGGCAGGAGCCAGGTGGAGAAGATGCTGCGGGAGCTGGTGCGGGAGCAAGGGCAGGGGGGGAAGCGCCGGAACCGCAAGAAAACACCCAAGGATGGAGGTAAATTTGGTGGGGGGGGAACCTGCCGAGACCCTCCCTGAGATGACCCCATTTTGGGACTATCCCATGGGAAGTGGGGTGGGGCCAGGTTTTGGGGAGGTTCGGTGCTTTGGGGGCTGGTTTTCCATAGGTTCATAGAAGGGTTTGGGTGGGAAGGTGCCCTTGAAGGTCGTCTACTCCATGAGCAGGGACGTCGTCAAGTCGATCCGGTGGCTCAAAGCCCCGGCCAACCCAGCCTTGAACGCTTCCAGGGATGGGGCATCTCCAACCTCTCTGGGCGACCTCTTTGCACAACCTCTTTGGCAAGCTCTTTGGGCAACCTCTCTGGGCAACCTCTTCGCGTGACCTCTTCGCGCAACTTCTCTGGACAACCTCTTCAGCAATCTCTTTGGGCAACCTCTTCGTGCAACCTCTTTGGGAACCTTTCTGGGCAACCTCTTCGGGCGACCTCTCTGGGCGACCTCTCTGGGCGACCTCTTCCAGCATCTCCCCACCCTCAACGTAAAGAATTTCTTCCTTAGATCTGATCCAAATCTGCCCTTTTAGAGCTTAAAACCATTCCCACCACCCCCACCCCCCACCTCATCCTGTCGCTATGGGCCCTGGCAAAAACTCTGACACCCCCCCCCCCTCCAAGGCCTGAAGGGCCCCCATGAGGTGTCCCTGGAGCCGCCTCTCCTCCAGGCTGCCCAACCCCAACTCTCCCAGCCCTTCCTCCCAGGGGAGGTGTCGCAGTGTCCCAGCCCTCAGATCAGCTTCATGGCCTCCTCCAGACCTGCTCCAACAGGTCCACATCTGTCTCGGCCCAAGGACCCCTGGACGCAGCGTTCCAGGTGGGGTCTCACCAGGGTGGAGAGGGACCATTGCCTCCCCCGCCCTGCTGGCCACACCTCTGCTGCAGCCCAGGGGACAGTTGCCTTTCCGGGTTGCCAGCGCACGTTGCCGGCTCCCATCCAGCGTTTCATCCACCGAGTCCTTTGGCCATTCTCCATCCCTTCATCCCCCAGCCCATGTCCGTGGTTGGGATTGTCCCCACCTGGGTGCAAGACCTTGCAGTTGGCTTGGTTGAACCTCCAGAGGTTCCCCCACCTCTCCAGCCTGCCCAGGTCCCTCTGGGTGGTTCCCTTCCCTCTCAGGCATCAACCACCCCACTCAGCTTGGGGGCATCTCCAAACCTGCTGAGGGTGCCCTCGATCCAACCTCTGTGCGGTTGATGAAGCTATGGAACAGTACTGGTCCCAGTATGGACCCCTGAGGGCTCCTCACTGGTCTCCATCCAGACATGGAGCCGTTGACCACAACCCCCTGGATGCCACCATCCACCCAATTCCTGCTCCACCTCACGGTCCATCCATCAACCCCATCCAACCAAGAGAGGAGGACATTGTGGAGAACCACGTCCAAGGGATGATGGTGGCAGATGTCATCGATGAAGCTATGGAACAGTACTGGTCCCAGTATGGACCCCCGAGGGACACGGCTCCTCACTGGTCTCCATCCGGTCATGGAGCCGTTGACCACAACCCCCTGGATGCCACCATCCATCCAATTCCTGCTCCACCCAATGGTCCATCTCTTCAACGGAGGATGTCAAAGGGCTTCCAGACATCCAGAGAGATGACGTTTCCCATGTTGGGGGGGCTTAAAATTAATTTGGGGGGGCATTGTGTCGGGAGGGGCTCACGGTTTCTCACTGTGGTGCAGGCACCGGCACCGGGAGCGGGACCGAGGAGGATTCGGCACCACGGGACGGTGAGGAGATGGCGTTGGAAGATGCCGATCAGCGCCAAAGCGGGGAGCAAGCGGGTGAACCCCCTGTCGCCGGTAAAGGGAATGGGGGGAAGAAGGGTGGCGCGGCATCGCTGGCATCCCGGGGTGGTTGTGCCGAATGCGGGATGCGGAACTGGTCGCAGAGTCCGGTAAAACCGCGGCGGTGCTCCGAGTGCGGGCGGCGGTGTCGACA